AGAGGTAAGATGTCTAAAAATACCCGCAAAATTAATCAACAAATGTGTTCTGTGAGCTTTGGCTTCTTTGGAACATGATCTACTGAAAAATACTGGTCAAAAATAAATCACTGGGCACGTACACTACCACAAAAATACAGGCTCAACTTCTATGTGTTTGCCCCTTTTTTTGCTTGTTTTTTTTCTTTTTTATTCTCTTCCTTCAAATAAATCAAATGTTAACAGAAAAAACATTAATTCTTCAACAAAGACAACTGCTATAGTGAGTTAGTTCATTATTGTCTAAAATATATCACTATTTGAGTAAAAAAATTTGTTGTTCAACTTAGAATCTTTTCAGTGCTACTCTTAACATTTTATCACTAGCTACTCTAGCAACATTATGTATCCTTCAAAATCAAAACAACTGTGAAGAAAAAAAAAATCGGAGACACTAAAAAAAAAAAAAAATCAAGATTGTTGCAAAAGTCTTAAATCAGTTGTGTCACGTGTTTAAACCAATAAACATAAGACCAGGGATTTAAAAATCAGTCTGAAACATGACAGGATGGCAGTAAAGTGACCTTTTTCCTTCTACTGTCATCCTCCTAAAGACACATGTGAAAGGTCCCTTTCATTACAGAAAGATCTATAAAAAGCCTCTGTTTAAATGCCTGTCTTACATTTCTGAAAAATATTTCCAGTGGTTTCCTGACAATGACCTACTAACCTCTCTTAATATCCAAAGAGAGCACTAGGAACACTTCTGGTAAGGCACCCAGCAAAAGAGAGAGAGACTGATGTTTCTCAGTGTTACCTGAAGCACGTGAACCAACACTGTGGCTGTTTAGTCAGGACCTGGATTTTGTAGGTGTGTGAATGGAAGTCTCACCAAATCCTGATAAAGAACCTGTACTCTGCTTCAACTCCAAACCAGACAGTTCTGTCAGACTGGATGGGACTGGGAGACAGAGCTGCTTATTACGCACCAAAGGACTTAATACTCTTTGGTCTCCTGCGCAGGGAACAAAACCAAGCTGCAGACTTACATTCACTCCATAAGTTGCATAATATCCCTAAAAATCAACCCATTCTGAGTGGCTGCTGGTCTCTGTTTTTTACCAGAATGAATAAAGAATAGCCATAACATTTAAATTGATCTTCTATCCTAGCCAATCACTGTTTTTACATGACAGGCAAGCAGCAGTAGCACGTCAAGAAATGCTGTTTCAGAGCTCTTCCAGTCCTCACCACAGTTAGCAGTGATATCACCAATATCTTGCTTTTCAAAGCCAAAAGCACACAAGCACAACAGGAAAATTATCTTTTCATATTGGGGTTCTGAATTAGAAACTAATTTTGTCTAAATATATATTATGATGTTAAATGTCCCATAAAATGTTACAAGAGAGAACTGTGTGGCTTTTTGAGGGAACGAACAGCAGGGCACTTGATAGGTTGTGGCTTTGCAGGTAGAAGAAATAATGTTCTTCCATGAGGGGAAAACATGTGATGAGAAAAGACAACTGCACCAGGACAGCAAGTTAAGGATGTAATGCAACAGTAATGACATTGAATTACTGTAGGCAAGAAGGAAAAGCTGTCACTCTTACATATTCTAATCATGACACAATCTCTCTTTACTGTTCGGTTAATAAAACACAGACACAAAAGACAAACAAAGCAAACCCTACTGAATATCACCTTGTCTTCCTGAATAGTTTTTTTCCAGATCATGCTGCAGAAGTCTGTTGTGGAAAGATGATGGTTCTTTATTTATCCTGAATTCAAACTGTAACACAACATTTAAGACAAATGTTAAAGTTTTCAAATGCAAATAACACCTACACAGACAAACACAACCTCAGTAGTAACTACGATTCTCAGGAAATTCTACTAATTATTTTAAAAAATAATAACTTCTCCAGTAAAAGGTTTACTCATTCTTTTAGGAAAAAAGCTTCAGTGTTGGAAACCAAAATGAAAATATGGAAGTTACCAGCACATGCATATGTAGTTGACTAAATAAAGAAAAATAATCCCACCCTGTAAGGAGTACAGGAGAAAGAGGGGTTCAGGCAGAACCCCTTTATATATATATGTACATATATATATAAAGTTTGTGGCAGGGTAGAGTACATTCCCCTGTTTTTACTTTATATGTCCCTGAGAGGATGAAATAAATTACTAAAATATTATCAGATACATTAGATATTATAAGTCAACAAATGACTACTGAAAAGGTAATTCCTATCTGAAAGCATACAAATTTGTATGTATCATACAACTGCTTTCATTCATATAGTTATCCAAGAAAAGGTAATAATTACTGGTTTGCTCTTATCTGGTATTGATGAGGTCTGGATAACCAGCTGAAGACCACAATTATTAACCTGCAAGTTGAAAGAAAAACAAATTAAATGCTACGTTTGTCAAAACCAGATATCAACACCAAGAGTTAAATGTAACAATACAGGCATTTTCAACAGCAAAATGCGTCAAGAAAGGAACTATTTTGCAAAAATATCATGAAGAACACAGCACAGCGCTAAGCAACACTAAATAATTTTTAGCTTTAAAAAAAAAATCACGCTGCGTTTAGTTTTAAAAATACACTGGAAGCACGACTTCCATGGGGATGCAATTCTCATCACGAAGAAAACAAGCGCTTGCATTTAAACACGCCTCTTTTCAAAAGGCAAAACATGCTGGTCTTTGGGTTTGTATGACAAAACGTGGCACCTACGTGCGAAGCAACCAGAACGATTAACAGAACCCCTTCACCGACTGGCTCATACACCCCCTCCCAGCGCATCACAGGGGGCACACACACAAACGGCACCGGGGGAGCCGCCGCCCGCCCGCCCGCACCCCCCGCAGCACCTACCGGTGCGGGCGCGGCCCGCGGGCCCCGGCCGGTGCGGCCCTTGCTGGGCACCATGTGCCGCTGTCCCTCAGCCCCGCACGGCCCCCACACCTCGCACAGCCCCCGCACAGCCCCGCGCCGCCGCCGCCGCCCTGTCGGAAATGGCCCCGCCGTTGCCGCGGCGACCGCCGCTTCCGTCCCGCCCGCCGGCCGGGGCGGCGCCGAGGGGCGGGAAACCGTGAGGGGACGGAGGGATGGAGGGAGGGACGTGGCGCCGTGCGGCCGCCCCGCTGTGCCCGGTGCCGGACCGCGTTCCCCCCGCGTGGTGAAAAGACACTATTACAGAGCCACAGATTGACAGAGCGGGTCAGGTCGGAAGGGACCGCAGTGGGTCACCTGGTCCAACCTCCCTGCTCAGAGGCTGGGTCATCCCAGAGCACGTGGCACAGGATTGTGTCCAGATGGGTCTGGAGTATCTCCAGTGAGGGAGACTCCACAGCCTCTCTGGGCAATCTGTGCCAGTGTTCGGTCACCTGCACAGTAAAGTTCTTGCTCATGTTCAAGTGGAACTTCAGTTTCTGCCTGTTGCCTCTTGTCCTATTGCTCAGCACCACCGATCAGAGTCTGGTCCATCCTCTGATGCCTCCCTTTAGATATTTATAACCCTCGATGAGGTCTTTCCTCAGGGCTGAACAGGCCCAGCTCCCGCAGCCTTTCCTCATAAGAGATATGCTCTAGTTCCCCAATCATCCTCATTGCCCTCCACCAGATACACTCCAGGAGTCCCATGTCTCTCTTTTACTGAATTACAATTGTATTTTTTCTGAATTCTACATCCGAGTGGCTGTTTGTGAAAACCTCTGACAGGACGAGAAGCTGGATGTACATTCCCTGAGGTTCTGCCTCAGGGAATTGCCTTGTGAGCACAGACTGGTCACAAAATATGTAAATCCCTGAGGTCAGCTGCAGCACAGAACAGTTCTTTGCTCATACTGGTCCTGACCTTGTGCCTGCCCAGGGAGGCAAACAACTCCCACGAACTCATACAAAATCAGACCCACAGTCCCTGTCTGTACTGTCTTAAAATGTGCCCTTTGTGTTTGTATTTCTGCTCCCACTGACATCAATAGCAAAGCGATGCCCTACCCAAGACACATTACAGAATGTCCCATTAGCAGAGAACTAGAGATTTGCTTAGTGATGCACGTCAGTATATTTCATAAACAAAATATTTCATTGCTTAAGGCACGTTGAAAAATAATCCAAACCCACTGAGGCAGAGCAGTCTCAGGACGTGTCCGTGCCAACAAACCTGACTCATGAGGACTGTTTGTAACAGGGTGAGAGAAACTGGCCCCAAGTGCAGCCTCACTTTTCGTCCATCCAAATTTTTAAGAAAACACTGAAGTAATACAGACAAAGATACCACAAATGAAGTCGTGACTTCAAGATCCAAGCTATATTTGACAGTTTAGGTCTAGACACTACTGAAAAAAAATCTTCCCTGACTGAAGAATGAATATTTACATGGAAAATTGAAAAGTTTTTGATTCTAATCTTCAGAACATGAATGTTAACTTTACTTTAGTAGCTGAAACAGTCCACTGAAAGAAAGTGCGATATTCTTAAGTTCAAAATAACCACTGTATATAAGTGTTTCAGAAAAAGGGCCTCTATTTTAATTAGTTCTTAAGGGGGAATGTTTTTATTCTGTGTAAGTACCATACAGAATTATAGAGCAGACTGCTCTACAAAAACAACACGTATCCAATCATGTCCTTGTTCACTCGTGTTTCTTATTTCCAAATCTCATCCTCGGCATTTAAAACCACACTTACCCCAGCGAAACCTTTCTGAATCTCTTAAAACGCAACGCTCCGGTCGGGGCGCAGCGACTCAGCCCCAGGGCTGTACCAGGCGACGAGAAGCTGAGACGTTGCTCTCCGGCGAGGAACGAGTTGTCTTCTGATGAAATAAAAGCAATCCCGTTGGAGTCGTCAACGAGAAGGCCACTCCAGCCGCCCGGCTGGCCTGGGGACAGCACCGCTGGAGGAGGGTCCGACTCCGCCGGGGGAGTGGAGCCGGGAGCGCCGCCCCAGCGGGAGGGGACGGGAGGGGACAGCAGGGGACGGAGGGCGGCTGTCGCAGCCCCGGCGGGCTGAGCCCGGCCATGGCCCAGCAGGAGCCGGCTGAGCTCGGGGCTGCGGCCGCCGGCCCGGAGCTGGCGGCGGGGAGCGGCCCCGTGCAGATCCGAGTGGCCGTCCAGGCAGCCGCGGAGGAGGAAGAGGACGAGGACGAGGAGGAGGAGAGGGGCGGCGGAGCGCTGTGCCCCAGCTGCAGCGAGGAGGACTCGGGGCGGTGCGGGCGCTCCAGGTGAGCCCCCGGGAAGGGGGTCCGGCGGCAGGGCAGGGGGTCCGGCGGCGCCCCGGGCGGGGCCGTGCGGGGCCGAGGAGCGGGGCCGAGGAGCGGGGCCGCCGCGGTCACCACGTAACGGAGCGGCCGCGGCTGATGCAACGCTGAGGGGGCGGGTGGGAGACGGGAACCCCCCCAGCGAGGAGACACCTGGGCGGGAGCTGCCCGGGAACCCATGGCTCTGCCCGGGAACCGCTGGCTCTGCCCGGGAACCGATGGCTCTGCCCGGGCTGCGGCCCCTCCGCCCCCCAGGGAGCTGCCGGGGCCGCGGCTTCCCCCTGCCACTTCACTGCCTTTTACAGAAAGGGTTTTGAGGATTAGTTGTTGTGCTGTGCTTTTTGGTTGTTTTTTTGGGTGGGTTTTTTTTTTTTTTTTGGTTGATTGGCTTTTATTGCATGGACTCGATATTTTATTATACAGACAGAGTTATCTCCTTAGATATTTAAGACATGGACAGACAGACCCGTGTTATGGCCTTGGAAACAAGCTGACTAGACACAAAATCAAGGCCATTAGGAATGCAGAAAAAACTGACACTTTATACTCTGCGTTTTACTGTTTGATAATGCCAGTAGTGCTGTCTGCACTCCGTAGTATGTTGTAGGAATTACTAGCGGTGCCTGAAATTGCTTTGATGCCTACCAGATTATCTTACTAGTAAAAGGCACATCCAGGATTTTTGTGCCAGAAAACTGCAGAGAGACAATGCTCGTTAGTTGTAGTTCATCTTATGATTTGTACTAACGTTGTACAGTAATGTACTGTACAGAGGCAGTAATAAATTGTCATGTAAAGATTTACATACAGTAGCAAGAAAACCAGTATTCTGTTTGTAGATCTATCGTTTCTAATTGATTCTCTAACTTCATATCCTAGCACTGACTCAGAATGAACTGCAGTGTATTATTTTAAATTACAGAGGGCTACTTGGGGAGGGGGAATTTTTTGCAGCTGCCAAAATTTTCAACTATATACTACAGAAACAGGAGTTGAACACAGCTAGGCACAATTAGGATGTTTAAGCTGAGTCTGCTTAGTTTTTCCACAATCATATACAACTATTATTTTTAAAAATATGTACAGCAGTCTACAGTGTTGCATTCCAATTACTGATTTCTTCGTTTTGGGAAATTCTTTACATTTGTTATCTGTGATAGTATTACTTGTGTAAGAGCTTCTAGCCCTGGCCTAGACTAGAAAAAAGGGTGGTTATTTTTTCAAGCTTTGAAACACAATAGCTACTCTTAAATGCCACTTATTTATATGATAGGAAATTATTTACAAGCATTTTGAAAATTATTAGTGATGGTCTAAAACTGCTGGGAATGAGCCATCTCATTCTCCAGCTGAAGCTAGCAGACAATTTGAATTTCCCCCCCCCTCAATTTTTAGGTTTTATAACTTATGAAATGAAAGCTGTTTCCCCAGTGGTCAAGCTTTGCAGTTCTTTGGGAAATCTCTGGGTATTTGTGACATACAGTCCTCAGTCTTTTAGCTGCCAGGTGCTTCAGAACCATCTCCAGACTGTTGAAAATAAACAGGTAGTTCTCATGTGCATGAAGTAAAGCTATTTCTACTCAAGTTTATTTTGGATGAATGTGAGTTTGAAAGGTCAATGTTGTTATGATGTTGTCAGTCTAAAAGATAATGTTTCACAACAGAAATTAAAATGAATGATTGCTGCAGCCACACGTTCCATTAGGAGGCACCAAGTATTGTATCCACTTTTTTGTTAACAGACTTGCACTGCCTTGGAGAGATTGTACTTTTGGAACTCATAAATTAGATTACCACATACTGCTTATTAATACAATACTTTATTCATTTGGGACTCAGCTAAAACTTTTCAAAAGGCTAGACACTATCCAAACAAGTTAATATACTGTTTGTGAGTCTTGATATTTAAAACTCCAAATCTGCTCTCTATGTAGATATGTTTTCTTGTGTGACTAATGGCCAGATGAGTCACCAGGTTAAAAGATTGTTTTTGTCTGTTTTGATAAGCATATTAAAGAAATAAGATTGTGAATAACTACTAGGGTTTGGTTTATTCTCAGTGTCAACTGGGACTGATTTATCATCTACTTTTGTAGTACAGTTGATACCCTAGAGGTACTACCAGTTGATCACTACTATGAATTAATATGGAGCTAGTTACAAATTTCTGCATCTGCTGTAGGTGGCATTTCCATACAGCACTTAGCGAGGGCTGTTGAAAGAGCCCATGGGATTTTGTAAAAGCTGAGCTGTCTGCCAAATACTATCATGTATAGGTCAGGCTGTGACCAATATGTGAGAGGTGAAATGAGGCCTGTTTTGCTCTGATTCAGTGTGTTGCAAACAACACTAGTCATTGCAAACATGCAGTTCATTTTTATTGTTTTCTAAGGCATGATGCCCCTTTTTGTTTCCATCCAAACACCTACAAATGTCTGTGCTAATATATTCTCTAAAACAGCCCCATCCTGAACTGAAGGTAAGCTTTTCCTAGCAGAGTGTGGATATGCAAAAAGGCTGAAATGTTCCAAGTTTCTTGTGTTGACACTAATTCTGAATTGCTAATGAATGAAGAATGAGTAGTGGGGTAAGGGAATATCAGTAATGAAAAATAAACAGCACTGGTGTTTTCTTCCTTCTGAAACCAGCACCCACAGCTGGTCATCGAATATTTTTTACCATCCTAATCATAACTTCATCTATTATCCTCTACTTCTGGCATTGCCAAGTAAATTCTTTTTCTTGCTCTCTCACCCTTCCTTTGAACTGTACCCCATTAATGACTAGGGAGATTTTAGCAGTGGGACTTCTCGGATCATACAAGTATCCACATACGTGCCATGATGTCATCATGGCTAGGCTTCGGGAACGAACATTTGGGAAGGGCTCTACCCCTAGAAGAGCCATGAGAAGTAAATGGACTGGAAGCTTCAAACAGCCAGGTCCCAGAGAACTGCTGTAGCCCTCACAGGTGGGGGTATGGTCCCTGTGCAGAGCCCACTGACCTAAACATGACCTTCAGACATAAAACGAGCATCTGCCGAGGCAGTGCTGCGCTCACAGCCTCCAGTTCATCTCCAGGACAGAGCTGCCTCAAGGCAGGGTGACTCAGCAAGGCTGCATCCTCCCTGCCAGATCAGCCTCAGGGGACTCCAGTGTGATGCCTGCTCCCTTTCATAGTGATTTCACAAGCTCTGCAAAAGCCATTTAAGAAAATTTTGGGCAAATGCATGGCTCCTCCTTTTTTGTTGGTGAGGTATGTGGGAGACCGAAGTAACACATGATTTATAGGATCTAAGGTACTTAGTGGGTGATTTTATTTTTTTAACAGAAACTTTCATGATGGTGCCATAACAAAAATGGACTGCTAACAGCTTAAAAAATTAGTCTGGCTTAAGACGGGCTTGTGCATTACAGTCACCTGTGGCTGAGCCGTTTGCCTCAATTCTAGATGGAAATGAGCATTTAAATTGCTATTTCAGCAACAAACATGTGCTGTAACTGTGTGTGGCAAGGAGTTCATCTTGAACCCATGGTTGCAGTATCTCTTTTGGGATAGGATGCCCAGTAGTGCTCCATTTTGCACAGATACCTAGTCAGTATGATGGGAAGGAGAGAAAAAATGAGAATGACTTCCTGAGATACATGAGCCGCTACCACACTTACATACAAAAGCCCTTATGGAAAACTGCTGGTTATGTTACTCTGTCACTCTGGAAGTGACCTGTTGAAAGTGCAACACTCCTGTCAGTCCTGCTTACTCTTTGGATTCCTGCTCCTGCATTCATGCAGGTAAAAGGCTTGAGAAATCATGACTGCATCACGTTGGGATATTCATCCTCAGACACGTGAGCCAGGAAGCACATAAAGGTCAAGCCTATGTTTAATAGCTTCCTACTAAAAAATAAAACATTGTCACTGGAGGAGCTTTGTATGGTACCACGTACCTGTGCACCTTCATTTCGTGTTTTGGTGGAGGATTTGAGTTGGCAGAGTGTTTTCAACAGGTTAGTGTGTATGTCTGCTTATTCTGCACTGAGATCAGCCTTGGGGATGAGCTCAGGAACTTGACTCCTTATGCTGACTGAAAAGCTTCCTCCTCTGAGCTGGCCAGCTGTCCCAGATGGATGGGTGGTAACTGTTCAGTGCCCACATATAAAGTAAGTTGGAAGCAGCAATACCAATGGGTAAAGTGGTCATGTCTTTTCATTTTGAAAGACTATTTGAATCCACTAATATAAGATGATCTGTTGATAAAAATGATTTAATTATTTTCCAGTGGTGGGGAAAATGATGACGACTCTGAGCAGAACTGGAAACCACCAGAAAATGACCTGATCCAGAAATTAATAGCACAGATTGAATATTACTTCTCAGATGAGAACCTTGAGAAAGACGCCTTCCTCCTGAAACATGTGAGAAGAAACAAGATGGGCTATGTCAGTGTTAAACTCCTCACTTCTTTTAAGAAGGTAAGCTAACTTTTTAAGACTTCAAGTGCCTCATGTAAGCCTGATGCATCTAAAAACATTAAGAGAGATGAAAATTACATTTTATAGAGGTGATTTTACAGTCTCTATCTGCCTCTCTAAGGGGTTGATTTTGTTTTGCTGCGATGGTTAGGTTTGTTCTCATCTAGAACTTTAATAGCTGAACTCCTTCATGATTGGCTAGGGAAGTCATAGGCTTAAAAACATGTATGCTTTTAAATTATCATTCTGGGAGAGAGGAGGACATAGCACCTGGGACATCAGATAAAATGATTTTTTTATGTCAACTATGCATGAGCAGCTGAGTAATCCTGGTAAAGTTGTATTCCTGTCTCTGAGAAGGGATGGTGAATCTGATCTTTGCAGTTGTATGAAGATCCAAAAATTAAGAGTAGTATAAAGTAACTGATAACTGAAGTCACTTAAAGGTGAGATGAGTTCTATTATTTTTCCTTAAATTAGGAACACCAATGTAAATATGTGTATGTAACCAATTTCTAAAATTGCAACAGAAATACTTCGTCAAGATTCTACACCTAACAGTTTGCAGAGTTTTTCAGTCTAGAAGCTGAGGCACTCCTGGCTTCTTCAGACCACTTCAAACAGATTATATTGGTGACAGATAAACCACTTAAAGGAAATGGAGAAGTTTGGGGGTTTTTTTAAGCCGAGAGTTTTGAGGGAGGAAAAACAGTTCAAGACAATGAAGTCCTAAACTTGACAAAACTTCTTGTTTGGCAAATTTAACGAAATAAACCTGCCAGAAGAACACACATTCTGATCGTGGTTCAGACCTACATGTGGAATGACCAAGCATCCCTTGAGCAGGCTTTCAGATACAGTAACGATTTCCAGTTTGAGCTTTAGTGTCAGTTCCTGTTTCCATTAGATTCAACAGGCCATGAGCTTTACAGGAGCTCACTGAGGCCCATTAGAGCAGGAAAACGGTTTACTTTTTCACCAAGTCTGCTACATGAAACTTAAATCCCTCTTTCTGTTTGCACACTGCATCTGCCTTAAAATTCTGTAATCAAACCCGAGTGGGTTTGATCAGTTGTGGTGTTTAACCTGTGTCTGTCTCCAAGGTGAAACACCTGACCCGTGACTGGAGAACCACGGCCTACGCACTGAAGTACTCGGGCACTCTTGAGCTCAACGGTGACAACAAAAAGGTTCGAAGGAAGACTCCAGTTCCACTGTTTCCAAGTGAAAACGTCCCTACCAGGATGCTGCTGGTGTATGACATCCACATGATTTCTGAGCTGCAGGCTCTCAATAAGCAAGAAAACGGATGCATGCAAGAAAGGATAATGGAGCATCTCCTCAAAGCCTTTGTAACTTTTGGTGTCATTTCATCAGTTCGTATTCTCAAGCCTGGCAGGGACCTACCACCTGATATCAGGAGGGTCAGCAACCGGTACACCCAGCTGGGAACTCAGGAATGTGCAATTATAGAATTTGAAGAAGTAGATGCTGCCATACGTGCTCATGATTCAATGTGCACCGAAAAGAGAGAGACTGGCATGAAAGTTGTCCTCATAGGAATGAAACCGCCAAAGAAAAAAGTTCCCAAAGACAAGAACCACGATGAAGATTCCAGCAAGAGTCTTAAGAAGACTCGATCCCTTAATAAGAGAGTGGAGGAACTTCAGTTTGTTGGTGATGAATCTTCGGCAAACAGCTCTTCTGACCCAGAGAGCAATCCCACATCCCCACTGTCAGGGCGCAAACGTACTGCAGCAAACACTGCGAGTAATTTGAGCCCCATCATTCATCCAAATAACCATTTGAGTCCTAATGTGTCACCCAGATCAAGTCCTTGGAACAGTCCATCTTCACTGAGGAAAGTAACAAAAAAATCTCCGCTGGCTGAAGACAGTAAACTTAACCCAAGCACCAGCCCTGAAATTCCACGGAAGTGTACAGATTATTCCTCGGATAGCAGCATCACCCCTTCTGGGAGCCCCTGGGTACAAAGAAGGAAAGCCCAAACTCTCACACAAGAGAAGAGTTCCAGCAGCAGTCCCATGTTGGTTAGGAAAATACAAAATGCAGACGGTCTCCCTGTAGGGGTACTGAGGCTGCCTAAAGGTCCTGATGGCACCAAGGGATTCCACAATGGCTGTGAAAGAAGGAAGGCTATGAAGAGTGAATAAACTCTTCTTTAAAAACAGGCTCACAAGTCAGCCAACTGCTGGTTGGTGACCAAGCCTGGTGAAAAATTGTCACTTCAGTGACTGAGTTAAGTCAGTATTTAATTTTACAAGCTTTTGTATTCATATAGAAACTTTATCATTTGTATATTTGGATATTTTCTCCACAGAACATGTGAGGTTGGAAGGCATCTCTGGAGATTGCCCAGTCCACCTCCTTGTCTCAAGCTACAAGAAGTCACTGAGCAGTTTGAGCATCTGTGAAGACAGAGACTTCCCTGCCTGTTCGGGTGATATGTTTCCATGTACAACCACAAAAGTGTTTCTTTACATTCAGGTGCAATTTCTATGTTCCAGTTTGTGCCCCTTTTCCCGTTACTGGGTATTGCTGAGAAGGGCCTAGTTCCGTGTTCTTTACTGCTTCCCATCAGGTGTTTAAAAACACTGATGAGATCTGGCCCCAGAGCCCTCTCCTCTCCAGTCTGACCTGCTCTCTAGGCCTCACAGGATGGACGTGCCAGCCTTTTAATCAGCTGAATCGCTTCGCTAGTGCACTGCCCTTACCTGCATCCATTCCTTTAATGTATTATTTTGAAATGCCTAAACATCCAAACAGACCTATAAATCATTCATGTACTACATCACTTGCAGAGTTGGGATCCTGAAGAGCAGTGTGTAAATACTTACAGTTTAGTGGCTGCATTATGAGAAGGGTGGTATGTTACCAGTCTCATCATAAGGAGCTGAGGTTTTGAAGACTTTCTGTGTTTGCCTCAAAAGGAACTGAGAAAGTTACACCACAGCGAGCAGTTGTTCTCATGTACATTGCCAAAGCAGTATTTTTTAGTAGGACCAGTGTGTATTTTCATGTGATGTGAGTAAAGACTGAGCATTGGAGACTGCTCTGTAAGTGTTCTCTCATATAATCAGATGGAAATAAACAAAAATATTAACTCAGTCTAGATCTATTTTGTTTACTTTAAAAATAAGTTGAGTGGCACCTGAATAGATAACTTAAACCTCATCTTATACCGTGTAATTCTAGTAGTAGTTACTCAAAATTTCCATTGTATTCAAGGAAAAAAAGTCCTCTCCCCCACTACTGATGGTTAATTGTGTGGTGATGCTTCACTGTGACTGTGTGTCACAGTCATTTTTATATAATATTATAAACTAAACAGTGGTCACTGCTAACTTGGGATTTAACAAGCAGGCTCAGCAAGAAGTGTTAAAATTAACTATAATCCTACCTGAAACCAAAGAAAGAAACTGCAGTTTTACTTAAAATTTTAAGTTAAACTCTGGAAAACTAGCCCAGAGACAGTAAGAGGGTTTCAGGTTCTAAGGAACAGCTTGGGAACTGTGCATGACAAAGGTCTCATCAGATGGTGATTCTTCATTCCAAAAGTCCACATCCTGTCCAGTTTCCTAAGCATAACACTTCTGCACTGTAAATAACCTCAGTAACAGTGAGAGTCGTATGTACAGGAATCCTGATTCTGATTCTTCAGCCACCCACATACATTCCTGGTTCTTTTACTGCACACAAATGGAATCCTCCAAGTTACCTCCTGACTCCCATTACCAAGACATTATAAATACTACTGAACACAAAGTGGTGTTTTTTTAAATCACCAGCACACCTGCAAATATCTGAGTGACAAGGTAAATCTTCAGAAGAGGGATTCCAGAACTCCAGATTACATACAACTGCACTGGTTCAGTCCAAATGCTTGTGTCATGAATAATCAGGGAAGTTGGTTGTTTTTAATTATGAAACTGTGCAGCATCCATGTGCCATGGTGTACCAAACTATCTGGGGGCAGCACTACAGCTGATGGAAGGCAGTATCGTGAAGACACACAGAAGTAAATCAAATGGAAATATTGGGAATTATATGTAATAATCCATGTTGTTAAAAAGTCTGTAAGACATTGCATACTTGCAGAAAAACAAGGAAGTTGAAAATATCAGCATATACCTGGGCTATGCTCTTGGAATTAACACTTCTACATGTCACATTCCACATGACAACCTTAAAAATCCAATTTACTTCCATATAACACCAACAGTTTGGAACTAAAAGTCTCGGACACTAATGATGAGTCTTATTTTGCTTTAGAAAATTTTACACGTGATACAATGAACACTGAGGATGACTCCTTAGTAAATAAATAAGTCTACAGTTTTTCTTCAATAATAAAGCAAATACTGTGTTACTGAAGAGTTATTAGAAGGCCATGAGCTATGAAATACTTTAAACTTATATGAGAATGCCATCTTATTTGAGATGATTAACATATACTTAACTATAAAATTCCAGAAAGCTGCTCCACCTGTCTTTAGAGAGCTTTCAATAAGAAAGAAAAAAATACACTTATCATGGTAATTATTTTTGCTAACAGAAAATACAGACAAACGTGATCAAACAGCAACTGATAAGGTGACCAGTGAAACTACTTGGAAAGTAATTTAAAGTACTGCTTATAGAGAAAAAGTCAACATATGGTCTTATTCTGGTTCAGATAATATATAAACCCATAGCTCTGCTCCACATAATTTCCCTGCATCTCCAAAAGGGAGATGTTTTCTGCTTGGAAAACATTCTGTGGAAACCTCCAGTAGACACACAGACATACCAACTTCTTTGCTATCCTCCTCCCCAGCCTTATTGCCACTTAGGAGCCAGAGCTATGTTATGCTGACTGTATTATGAACAGCTTTTGTATCATTAGACACACATTCAATATTCCTCATGGAGCCCAGAACGTTTGATGTTTAATGAATCAATGTAAAAGGACTGTAGGTAGGAAACACCTTCTCTCCAGGTACTTCCTGCACTAGCCAGCAGTGCCCAGTGTTGGATACTGCTGCATGTGCATGTTCAGAGACATTCTGAACCCTCAGCACCCAAACACACGCCAAGTGCACAGAGAGGGCACAGTGAACCCTGTGGCTGCCCGAGGCAGGGAGCCCTGGCTGCAGTTTTGTGGCTGGCAGGCAGCTCGTCTGCTCCAGGGACTCGCCCCCAGGGAATCCTGCTTCTCTTCTGCAGAGCTCAAACACTCACATCCACGCCTCACATCCACGCCTCACATCCACGCCTCACATCCACGCCTCACATCCACGCCTCACATCCACGCCTCGAAGGGGTGCTTTCAAAAACACGGAGGTTGAAGATATTTTTATTGCCTTTTTTTTTTTCTTTACACAACAAACAGCAACTCTAAAAAGCATTTTAAGAACGAGACCACTTTGCACAAGTAGCTCAGGTACCGAAGGCGTTCACGATTCTCAACTGCCTGAACACCACCATGTGCCACACAGTCCACAGCAGCCTTCAGTCATACATGTACAGCAATAAAAACAGAGAAAATATTAAATTCCTTTGGGACAAATATTTCATTCTCCCTGAGTTTGTTTCTGTCTTCACATTCAACCAACTGCTCAAAACCTGAAAACAGTACAACCCCCAGATATACACACCACACATCCAAACTGCTTGGGGAAACGCTGCCAACAGAGACACTTGAAACACCAACAGCTGTGCCTTCATTTTGTTCCAGCTCTCAAATATTGATATTATAATGACATATTTCAACTAAGTATTTTTTTAAAATGTCATATCAGCTGACAAGAAACAACGTGACAATGCATTTGGAGTTTTGGTCACTGGTTGAGAGCCACTCCCAACTATAAAAGAACATTTACTTCTGTCCCCACCAACAACGGATACATTCCCATCATCTTCATTTTGCACAAGCAGTTTATGGCTGGGTTTATAACCCTGAAGTCTGAAAAAAGCTGGGGACTTCAGTAAAAAATGCTTATTAACTCACCTACTACACCCGAGCTGTTTAGAACAACAGTCTGATTAATCAAACAGAGCTGGCTTCAGTTTGCACCATTGTTCCCTGAGCTTGGATTTCACTGCATTTGGAGCAAAAATATAGTTGATTGACTCATAGGAAAGATCCCACATCTGTGATCGAGTCAAATTAAATGTTTTTGCAACCAGCTCATATTCTTGTGATAGTTCGGTTGCAAAGACGCCTTTATCATCAGTCTGGAGTTACAGTGAAAGAAAAGAAAAAAAAAGGTTAAATTAGTTCCTCTACATGAAAAGAAGTCTTTTTCTATACATACAAACCAGTTTTATCTTCCCATCTCACATTTTATTCCACGGTTCTTTCATCCGTGCATAATTATTTCATCTCTATTTGCTCTATTTTCACTCAAAATGAATTAACTATTCAAACATAAACAAAAACTTCTTAAAATGACGGCATAATTTATCAAGAAAATAGGATTCCCTACTAAAATTGCTAGAAAGATGGCTATCAAATGCTGCATACATTCAAGCTATGTGCAGGTCTCCTTATTCCTCTTTTCCCTTTCCTTAGATCTGGGAACTAGAGCATACTCTGTGTTCCACATCTTCAAGGAAGAAACTCTCTGACCCTTTAGACAATAAAGGATTGAGGCTTATTTTAAACATAAGCACAATGCTATTATATTTTTATACACACACTTGAACAATGCTACAGATTATGGGGGTTAAACCAATAGGATGATAGTAAAATCCCGCAGCACAAGTACTTGGCACCTCAGTGTTTAAGGACTTTAACGAGCTGTGAAGAGAACACAAGAACTCTCACCCAACACAGTGGACCCCCTGGTACACACAAGTGTTATGTGCAAGCACTGGACCCTGTGTTTTAGGAGAAACCTGTCAGTATGCAAACAGCTATGAAGGTCATTGCACGTATAGCTGATCATCTTATCCACACAGAAAAACAAGACCTGGCTTTACAACAGAACCAAGAGAAGTACTATCAATTCCCATTTGTATTACCAGCATTTCTCAAACTGAACATTCTGATTTCCTCAAAGTGAATGATTTGCTACAAGGTCAGAAACTGTAAGTCAGCTCCGATCCATTAAAGGAGAAACGCTTCTCCAACTTCACATTAGTTTGGCTCTTTGCCTAAATACATGGTTAAAATCAAAAAACTTACACAGAGCACTGCGGGATGGCCCATGCTGTACCAGTATCCAAAATGGTGTTTGTCACAGGAAGGCACCGTCTGAGATTTTATGTTTGATGTCATGCAAAGTTCTATGGAAGAAAAAAAAAAAGAAATTAGGATATATATCAAAATGAGAGACATGTTTTTGACATGTTAATTGACTTATTTCTGTTCCTGAATAAAAATTAAAGTCAGCTACTGTTGTTTCCTCTATTTTCTAACTGCTTCTTTGGTAACTTCTTCTGAGGAAAGTTTAGTAATCAATTTCTACAGGGTACAAAATTTGGGAGCTTGCAGACCAGATACAGAATCACCACAGTCTTGCACAGTAACTGTAAGTTATAATTCAGTTTTGTTTTCATCTGAGACATCAATTGTCTGCTGCCACAAACACATCAAAAATCCCCAAAGCATTATGAGTGTACCTTGAGGGCAATTCCCACTGCCATGTTTGCCTAAGCCACGTCTGGTCCAAGACAAACTGGAGTCCCTGGATCAGCAGTCCATGTGCCATTCTGAAATCTAGAGACTGAGCCATTGTAAATATTTTTTTCCTTACCAATTGGTATCCGGTTCTGTCGAACAATTGACACTAACTCTTCTGAACCTGCTGCTGTGGAGTTGAGAAATGTTCCATGTCCAATTCTGTCAGGAGGCAGGCCCAGGAGAATTTTGGTCTCCTCTTCCTTATTAGGAATCTAGAGGGGAAATATTTTACATTCTGTCAAGGCAGTGTAAAGCAGCATATTAAATAATTGCAGTGGACTTCCAGTTCTTTTTTTACAGCATCTCTTATCCAAAAGAAAGTGTTAGTGAAATAGGAACAAGTATAAATAGGCCTGTGACATCCTATGTCCGGCTTAATTTCCTGAAAAAAATAAAACTATCTTCAGGATTTATCAGATTTGTCAGAGTAAACTCCAGTCA